TTTTTTTTTTTTTGCAGTTGTCATTGTTGTTTAGCTGGCCCGGGCTGAGTTCAAACCCACCAGCCTCAGTGCATGTGGCCAGTGCCATAACCACTGTGCTACAGGCACCAAGCCCAGATCTCTGGACTTTGCTAGAACACTCCAGCAAAGAGCTGCCCATTAATTTCAAGGCAAATGAATACCAATAATGCATAGCATTCATTATCAGAAAGTTCTCTTCTTACACGGAATTCTGCCCCATACTTTATTTGAATTTAACTTACCACCCAGTGATTCTACTACTTTCTACAGCACGGTATGATGGTGACAGTGACAGCAGCTGAATCAAATGGTCTGAGCAGCTACTCTGAGCACCTCACACACACGACCCTCGTCTCTTCACAGAACTGGACACAGTGATCACAGTTCACCTATGCTCTACCCGCTGTGACTCCTCCTCCTGTTTTCTATCTAATCCAGTTTCTAAGAAGATCAGGAACCCAAGATTTATTAGCTTTCTGTAAAGCCATGATAAAACTGTTGGCTTATGCTGAGCTTCTACTTAGCAAAATCTGGAGTAATTAATCTAGGATTTTAACCTAAATCATGGACGTTAACTTTTAGTATCTTTTCACTGAGAAATGTGGTTGCCACAGAAGCAGGAGCATACAGACCAGCAGAGTGTTCCCCAACAAGTGTGAGGATGTCTCGGGCCAAGGGGTACAGAGACAAGGAGGAGCTCTGGAGTCCAGCCTGGGTTCAAATCTGGACTTTTCACCTTAGTGGCTGTGTGATCCTGGATAAGGTTACAAGCCTTTAAATATCAGTTTCCTCTTATGTAAAACAGGGTAAGTTTACCTCGTGAACTCACACAGGTAGAGGACAGTCAACAAATGGCACCTATTAGCAACACTGTCATCATCATCATCAGTTCAAAATTGTGCACCAGCAACTACTAACTGGTAACCCTCGGCATGTGGGGCTAGTAGAGCCTAGCTGAGACTTACTTTTATAATCTGAAGATGAAAATGCTCCCTAGATCATGAAGGTGCTGTGATGATTAAATCTGTATTTCCAGCCTCCCTCTTTCCCCCTGAACTCTCCCACGTCTGTATACTTGATAGCTCCCACTGCTGCGTATACCAGGCACCTCAGACTTACCAAGTCTCATACTAAGTGCCCAGTCTTCTCCCTTAACCCTTCAACTTGTTTCTCCTGCTCCTCCACCACTGGAAAAAGCAGCTCCCAGCCATAAACCAGGAAGCTCATCTTTGACCACTTTTATGTTTCACTTCAGTATGCAAAAAAACCCTAGTAGGTCTATTTTCAAAATAAATCCATCTACTTCTGATCAGTACCCCACCCCCACTGCAGTCTACACCAGCTCATCTTGCCCAGATTCTTGTCATAGCCTCCCATCCCGCTCAGTCTATTCTCAGCACAAAGTAGTCAGGGATCAAATGAACACCTCCAGCAGAGTCTGTCACTCCTCCACTTCATATGCAAAATCCTGGAGTGGCCTCCAGGCCCTGCAGCCTCAAGGCTCACCCTGCCTTTCACCTATGATTCTCCCACCTCTGCTTACCTCATTGCTTCCTTCTCACCGGCACCAGGCCAACCCCTGGGGGATTCTGTCTGGGAAATTCTTCCCTTGAATGTCACTCCCATTTCCTATGGCGACTTTCCTGGCGTCCTTCCTCAAATGTTACCTCCCCAGTAAGACCCCTTGGCCACTGCTTTCCCTGCTATCATTTCCCCACAACACCATGATTTAACACACTATCAATTTATTTGTTTATTGCCTCCCTCCTTCCAGGATGTAAGCCTAAGAGGGCAGACGTTTTAGTCCCTTTTGTTTACTCCCAGATCCCTGTGACCTTAATAGTTTCTGCTCCCTAGGAACTACTTAATAAATACCTGCCGAATGTGAACAGATCACCTGTCTCCTAGGCCACCACCTCTGGATAAGAGCGAGCATTACCCTCTCTGTTCCCCGCCCTTGTGTGTTCTCTCTATAGGCCTCCCCGCTGTTTCCACGACTGACTCCTTCTTCCATTACTGCTGATATTACCCACAGCAACACTTACACTTCACTCACTGTGGGCCAGGTCCTACTCTTAAGGGCTTTGAATATATTACCTCACATAATCCTCACAACAACATTGGAGCTATTTTTATTCATTTCATAAACACTTATATAGAAATTACTATATGCCAGACCTGTCTCCAAGTGCCTTGCAAATATTAATTTAATCCTTACAGCCACCGTTGGAGGTAAGCACTATTACCCTCATTTTGCAGATTAGGAAGCTGAGGCAGAAAGAAATGAAATAATTTGCCCTAAGTCACACAGCTAAAAATAAGACTAACCTGAGCAGACTAGTACTACAATCTTGTTCTTACCCATTATAAGAATATTCTCTACATCTTAGACCAGCACTTCTCTAACTCCCTGCTACACCAACGAGATGAGATTTACACTCTTTTTCTTTTTTTGAGATTTACACTCTTAATTTTTCTGAAGAATTCAAAATCTGAAATACTCACTTTTCCTCATACATTTTTACCCCCTAAAAACTAACTTGAAAAATGAAAATGTGGTGCTTACCATTTTCACCATTCTTTGCTTCCGTACTTTAGCACTTGGGGTGGCATCTAAGTCAACTGTGGTTAATGGAGAACAAAGACAAATTGAAAGGTCAGAAAATGTTTAATAAAGAAAAATAAATTTTAGAGTATCTTTCTTTGCCTGGGTCACTATTAAAAATTATTTGTCAACTACCATGCTTCAGAATATTTTGAGATACTATTTGCTTATTAATAAATATAACCCTGCATCTATTCTAGTTGGATAAAATTCTGTTCACATTAACACATACAAGTAAATTCATGGCAACTTAAAACTGATGCTACAGAAAACCATTAATGCAAGACTCTTTACCATCTTCTGCCACATGTCTACAATCTTTGTAGAGAACTGAGTGGAGTTAATAAACAAGGGTTCCCACACCTGGGACTGAAGTAAGCTCAGTTCTAGGCACTTAGTTCCAAAGGCAAAGATTTTGGATCAGGTTTTCCAAAGCCCCTCTAATCTGACCAGCCTTTATGTTCCTGTGAATAGTGCATTTTGTCCTTTTAAATACTGCCTTTGGGAATACACAGGCTGCCATGATAGACTATGTTCCTTCTCAAAATATCTTACAGCCTTGTTTGTGACTATTTCGTTAGACTATATTCTTATGAATTATGTCATCATGGTTCACTGAAAGTTGGGGGGTAGCTGCTGTTGGTTGGTGGATATCCTCATTGCCAAAATTTCCCTGTATCTACCTGGGGGCTAATTTGGGGCTAATTAGTCTAAGTTGCCAAGATTCCACAAGATCAGATGATCACGTGAGACTTCTAAAGAAAAATGCCACCAGACTGGCTCGCACTTGCCCCTCCTCTTTCTCCAGATGATATGGCTACTATAGAATTTGGGTTATTCTGCTATCACAGGGTGAGCTATAAGGCCATTATTAAAAATTTTGTATCAGAAGGCAGACATTTCCTATACAGATATTTATCAAAGCCTTGACCTATGATCTGAGCCTAAAATGTCACATCACTAACCCCTATGATACTATGTCATGAGGCCAAAAATGCCTCCCTGGATTCTTTAACCCAGACTATCCTGCCAAGGTTTTCTCAAAACTGACTGACTGGCAGGACCATCCTTCCTATTCCCATTACCTGGTTGCTGTGTTTTTATTACTCATTTTCCATGGCCATGTTCAATATCCTATAATCCAGCAAGGCTGGTGACATCCAGGTGAGAGCCACACAGCACACCTGGTGTCCACAGGGCCCCTCAGTGCTGAGACAGTGAGCTCCACTCAGCCTCTAGGTGCCCACCCACACCACCCCAGTTACTTGCTCCCAGGGGCCCTTGATTTCTCCTTTGCAATATTTAATATTTATCACTCACACTTGATTAGCATCTACCTTGAAAGTAGTAACTGATTTTATTCATCACCATACCTCCTGGTTACAGGTTAGTGCTTGTGCTCTTACTGGCACTCAGTACCTTAACTGGTTGATTATATGAAAACATATCCTTAGCCCCGTCTGATGTTTTATAGATTTCTGTCAAATCCTAAACATACCTCCCTACACAACAAAGAAATGTCCCATACTAATCTGTTCCCCCAGTAGACTTGGTTCCTAGTTCTGACACAGCTACTGCCTAGCCTGTCAAAATATTCAATCCTCATGGCTTGCATTCCTGAACATACCACTCTAGTCAAGCCAAATCAGAACCCTCTCTGAAATCTGTTCTTTTCTGGGACTATTGGCCAAAAGGGCTATGTGGGCACAGAGTTGTGAGTGGAGGGGGCCTGCATGGGACCGAAGAGATGGAGAGTGGAACAACAGCCCTCTGAGACCCTCTGAAATAGTAATCAGTGTCCCTCACCTTCAGCACCTTCCTGCATTTTTATTCTATTCAGTCGCTTCTGCTGCTCCCTTAGCAGAGCTTGCTGTTGAATCTCTAAGGTGTGATGATCTCTTGGAGGATCCGGGTACATAAATTTGAGATCAAATCGTGTTTCTGAATCTGGTACAAAAAAAAAATGTTACATAACTAAGTTAAATATTGTTTTCAAATGAGATTTTATTAGACATTATACATAACATATGAGTAATCTAATTTCAAAATCAAGTGAAACATCGCCAAAGTCAAAGGACAATAAGCCATAAGACTAAAGAACATGAAATCAACATTCTTCAGTGAATGCCTTTGCACAAACTCATCAACATAAGGAACGTCCCAGAACAAGCAGTAGCACAGTAGCAGTCAGCGAGGGCCTTCAATGCGACCCTGTGACTAACCCCATGGATATATTTGCATATGCCAGCTAGCAGATAGTGATTAATTAATAAATGGTAGCATTAAAGACAACTACGGTAAATGTCATTGATCACACGTGTGAAGTGAAATTGATGATACCTGTTAAGTGAACAAAATGACAAAAATTAAGTAGATAATATGTCTTTTTATAGTTTTAATTATGCTCCATAAGAAGACTAGAAGACATCCAAAATGTTAATGTGCATATGTAAGTGGTTTGATGAAAGTGATTCTTCTATAATTCTGTATTCTGAAAATTTGCTACAATAAATAGGTAATACTTTTGAAGAGAAAAAAATTCTAGTTTATCTGGCATAGGCCATAACTGCACATCCAACATTTTACCTGCTCTACTGAACGCCCCTAATGAAAAAGCGCGTTGAACATACATTCTGGTTCCTCTACACATTTTCAGTCCCTCGGTCTTGTGTGTTTTGGCAATCCTGTTTCCCGTCTAAGCTTTCTCTCTCATTCTCCCAAAAGATCTACATCAAATCTCCTTTCAATTCTTTTCCCCTAGATTTCCTCCAGCCAGCCTGGGCCTGCTCAGTTCTGCAACCACTCCACTCAACTGTGGCGGCAGCCTCTTTCTTCGGCCATAACTCTTCACATTTGTACCTTAACAAGTTCCTCTGGCATGTGAACGCTTCCTCCCCTTCTCCAGAGACGCTTAATCCAAATATAGACTTATCATTTTGTCTCCAACATCGTACTTTCTAATCAATCCTCAATTCACTTCTCTTCCACTGATCTTTTTATTTATTTTTTTATTGTTGAGGATTCATTGAGGGTCTAAGAAACCAAGTTACACTGATTGCATTTGTTAGGTAAAGTCCGTCTTATAATTGTGTCTTGCTCCCAAAAGGTGTGTCACACATGAGACCCCCACCCCCTCCTTCCTTCCCTCTCTCTGCTCTCCCCTTCCCCCAACACGTACTAGGTCATTAATTGTCCTCAAACCAAAATTGAGTACATAGGAGTCATACTTCTCCATTCTTGTGATGCTTTACTAAGAATAATGTGTTCCACTTCCATCCAGGTTGATACAAAGGATATAAAATCCCCATTCTTTTTCTTTTTTGAGATAGAGTCTCATTATGTGGCCCCTGGTAAAGTGCCGTGACGTCACAGCTCAGAGCAACCTAAAACTCTTGGGTTTAAGTGATTAAGCGATTCTCTTGCCTCAGCCCCCTAAGTAACTGGGACTATAGGTGCCTGCCACAATGCCCAGCTATTTTTTGGTTGTACTGGTCATTGTTTGGCAGGCCTGGGCTGGATTTGAACCTGCCAACTCTGGTGTACGTGGCTGATGCCCTTGCCACTGAACTACAGGCGCTGAGCCAAGTTTCCATCTCTTTTAATGGCTGAATAGTATTCCATAGTAAACATATGCCACAGCTTGTTAATCCATTCCTGGGTTGCTGGGCATTTAAGCTGTTTCCACATGTAGGTAACTATAAATTGAGCTGTAATAAACAGTATAATACAAGTGTCCTTATGGTAAAAGGATTTTTTTCCTTCTGGATAGATGCCCAGTAATGGGATTGCAGGATCAAATGGGAGGTCTAGCTTGGGTTCTTTGAGGTTTCTCCATACTTCCTTCCAAAAAGGTTGTATTAGTGTGCAGTCCCACCAGCAGTGTAAAAGTGTTCCCTTCTCTCCACACTCACGCCAGCATCTGCAGTTTTGAGATTTTGTGATGTGGGCCATTCTCTCTGGGGTTAGATGATATCTCAGGATGGCTTGATTGTATTTCTCTAATAATTAGAGACAATAAGCTTTTTCTCATATGTTGCTAGCTATTTGTCTGTCTTGTTTAGAGAAGATTCTATTCATCTCTCCTGCCCATATGGCTTTTTTTCATGTGGATTAACGAGTTCTCTATAGATCCTAGTTATCAAGCTTTTGTCTGATTCAAAATATGCAGATATCCTTTCCCTTTGTGTAGGTTGTCTATTTGCTTTGGTTGTCATCTCCTTAGCTGTACAGAGCTTTTCAGTTTAATAAAGTTTCATTTGTTTATCTTTGTTGTTGTTGCAGTTGCCACGGCAGTCTTCTTCATACAGTCTTTCCCCACGCCATAGCTTCCAGAGTTTTTCCTTTCTTTGAGGACTTTTTATCATTTCATGCCTTAAATTTATGTCATTCATCCATCTTGAATCAATTTTTGTGTGTGGAGAAAGGTGCAGGTCCAGTTTCCGTCTTCCATACGTGGATATCCAGTTCTCCCAGCACCACTTATTGAATAGGGATTCTTTCCTATACCAATGTATGTTCTTGTTTGGTTTATTGAAGATTAAGTGGCTATAAGATGTTAGTTTCATTTGCTGGTTTTCTATTTCATTCCAAATGTCTATGTCTCTATTTTTGTGCTAGTACCATGCTGTTTTGACCACTATGGCCTTGTAATACAGCATAAAGTCTGGTATTCTGATGCCCCAAGCTTTGTTTTTATTACTAAGAACTGCCTTAGCTATATGGGGTTTTTTCTGGTTCCATACAAAATGTAGAATCATTTTTTCCAAGTCTTGAAAGTACAATGTTGGTATTTTTTTTTTTTTTTTTGAGACACAGTCTCAAGCTATCCCCCTGGGTAGAGTGCCGTGGCATCACAGCTCACAGCAACCTCCAACTCTTGGGCTCAAGCAAGTTTCCTGCCTCAGTCTCCCAAGTAGCTGGGACCACAGGCACCCGCCACAATGCCCAGCTATTTTTTGGTTGCAGTTGTCATTGTTATTTTGGCGGGCCCGGGCTGGATTCGAACCCACCACCTTAGGTGTATGTGGCGAATGCCTTAACCACTTGAGCCACAGGCGCCAAGCCCGATGTTGGTATTTTAATAGGGATAGCAGTGACTCAGTAGATTATTTTGGGAAGTATAGACATTTTAACAATGTTGATTCTTCCCAGCCATGGGCATGGTATGTTCTTCCATTTGTTAATATCCTCTGCTATTTCCTTAGGGTTTCATAATTTTCTTTATAGAGGTCCTTCACCTCTTTTGTTAGGTATATTCTTAGGTATTTCATTTTCTTTGAAGCGATAGTGAAGGGAGTTGTGTCCTTAGCTAGCCTCTCATCTTGACTGTTATTGGCGTATACAAAGGCTACTGACTTGTGAACACTGATTACATATCCTGAGACATTATTTTATTTTTTGATGACTTCCAGGAGTCTTGTGGTTGAGTCTTTGGGGTTCTCTAAGATCATATCGTCAACAAAGAGGGAGAGTTTGATCTCCTCTGCCCCCACTTGGATGCCCTTTATTTCCTTGTCTTTCCTAATTGTATTGGCTACAACTTCCAGCACTATGTTGAATAGTAGTGGTGACAGAGGACAACCTTGTCTGGTTCCAGTTCTAAGTGGAAAAGCTTTTAGTTTTACTCCATTCAGTAAAATATTAGCTGTGGGTTTGTCATAGATAGCTTTGATCAGTTTGAGAAATGTGCCACCCCTGCCTATACTCTTCAGTGTGCTAATTAGAAAAGGATGCTGGATTTTATCGAATGCTTTTTCTGCATCTATTAAGAGGATCAAATGGTCTTTTTTTTGTTTCTGTTTATATGGTGAATAACATTTATGGACTTGCATACGTTAAAGTAGCCTTGAATCCCTGAAATGAAACCTCTTGATCATGATGTATGACTTTTTTGATGGTAAGCTGTAATCTATTGGCTAGGGTTTTGTTGAGAATTTCTGTATCTATATTCATTAGTGAAATTGGTCTGAAGTTCTCCTTTTTAGTTGGGTCTTTTCCTTGTTTTGGTATCAGAGTGATGTTTGCATCGTAGAATGTGTTGGGGAAGATTCCATCATCTTCAATTTTTTGGAATAATTTCTGTAGTATGGGAATAAGCTCTTCTTTGAAGGTGTGATAGAATTCTGGTGTAAAGCCATCCAGACCAGGGCACTGTTTTGTTGGGAAGATTTTTTATTGTTTCTTTGATCTCAGTGCTTGAAATTCGTCTGTTCAGGAGATCCATTTCTTCCTGGCTAAGTCTAGGGAGAGAGTATGATTCCAAATATTGATCCATTTCCTTCATATTGTCAAATTTCTGGGTATAGAGTTTCTTGTAGTATTCAGAGATAATCGTGTATCTCTGTGGCATCTGTTGTTATTTCCCCTTTATCATTTCTCATTGAGGTTACTAGAGATTTGACTTTTCTATTTCTAGTTAGTCTGGCCAAAGGTTTATCAATTTTATTTATTTTTTCAAAAAACCAACTCCTTGTTTCATTAATTTTCTGA